TTCTCTGAGTCAAAATAATGAAGTTTTTTAATTACGAATTTGCTCGTTCCAGGTTAAGCAAAAAATGTTTTTCCTTTGAAGTTTTGGCGTAAAACCAAAGGTACATTTTTTTTCCTTTTGTAAACCCAATCCGGAAACATATTGTTTATTTCTCTCAAAATTTAATCGATTCTAGATGGAACCGTGACAAAAACTCTGGTTAACTTAATTGCAATTAAATTATTATGTTTCTTAAAAATCCACTTATAATCATCACAAAAAAAATAAAAACAGAATGCCTCAAAAAAAACTAGAGAAAATGATTTTTAGTTGCTCTTTTTTTTCTATTGATTGTTGAGAATATTTATCTTTTTTAAATTACCAACAATGATACCAGGAATGTGGAAAAAATGTTAAAAAAATTCTATCTATAAAAATTCGAAGTCATGAAATTTTAAATTTTGCACTTTGACTCTATTTATTTCTGTTGTAAAAATAATTTTCCAAGTTTTTTTGCTACAGGTTATTAGAAGAGGAAACAAAGATGCTGTATTATAAATTGTAACTCTGTTTAATGTTATTTGTGGCTTTTATTGGCAAAATTTGTGTACCTTTACTAAATAATTATAAAAAAACATAAACAAGATCATCAGTATTATTAAATAGACATAACAATATGTTAAATGTCAAAAAAATGTCAAAATTTTTGACAGATAGAATTTATTAAACATTTTTTCCATCTTCCTGGTATCCTACCTTACTTGAAACTTTTCTCTGGAGTTCTGACACCCTGTATATGAGTATATTTTAATCTCATTTTTGATTTAATTATGCCAAACATTTAAACAACATTTAAACTTGTACATCTCAAAACGATGTAAATATTAGAAGTATTAAACTTAATTTCAGTAAATTAATTAAAGTAAATTGTCATGTTTTTTTTATTTTGGATTATTTTTACTAATGCAAATTTTCATAGTTATAATAAAGTGAGGTGTATTTCAAAATTACTCCACACACCCCACACCTAGCACGAAGCTAAAATGATCATCAACAGTTATCAATTTTTTACAGCCCGTCAAAAATCAGATTTTGTATAACAGATAAAATATTATTTTTTTCTGATTTCCAAAAATTTTAATTATTATTTGTTTATTTTTATAATTAAACTAAAATGATTTTGTGGATGTTTTAAATTTTTTATTACTTACCTTTTATGTCAAACTAAAACTAAATTATAAGCAATTGAAATTAATATAATGTAATTCTACATTTTTGCAGTTTGTTTCTATTAAATAATCTAATGTTTTTTTAATAAACTTCGAAACATTAAAATAATTTTTGGGTGCTGAAATGACCATTAAAAGAATGTTTTTTTTCAAGTTGGCAACACAATATATATTCGGTCGGTCAACACTACAAATAGTTCTAAAAGTCTTACCTTTTCCTCTTTCAAGTTCCAGTTATTAGTCTCTGTCTTTTCATCTGTCGTTTCAATATCAACTTCATCGTCACTTTCTTCCTCTTTTTGGGGCACAGTTCGCTCATTGACAGGTTGAACGGGCTTAAACGCCGACTGATAACTCTTATCAATGGGAAAAAACGGGCTTTCATGCGGAAACAAAATCGAATTCCTCTTCAGCCAAGGGAACGTCGAATAGGACGAAAACGCTAACGGTTTATGATAAATAAAATCCATGGCGACCCTCGAAATGGGGAGAGCGATATCCTGGCAGTTGGGGATCCTTGGCGATGGGACAATCGGCTGGGGCTGTGCATCGACTTTGGTCTGTTTGGAGGGCCGGTCCACCGAGGAGGCCAAAAGACGCTTCCTGGTGCCCCCGTTGAACATCGCCTTGACGTCCTCCCACGCATGCGTCACCTCCTCGGGGGGGCTCCCGCTGAGCTTCATGTGCCGCCTCCAGGAGTTGAAGTTGGCGGCGTCGGGCTGGACGTACTTGTCGTTCGCGCTGAGACGATGCGAGTGGAAGATGAACTTGTTGGGGGAGAAAAAAAGACCGCACACTGAACACTTGATGCACTTGGCGCGGGAGGAGTTGTACCGCGACGGCAAAAAGGAGCCCCGGCAGCCCCAAGCACACTCGTGGTGAACGGCGAAGGCGAAGTCGTCGGGGAGGCGAGGGGGCGCGTTGTCCCCCAGGAAGCTCTTGCACAGACGCTCGGCCTCCCGACGGGTTATCATACCGCAACGACGGGAGGAGACAGGCATGGCGCCCGCCCGACGGAGGATCTCCAACTGCACGGGGGTGCACTGCACGCAGGTTATACCTAAATGGGAAAATTATTTACTAGGGGAGCACTGGAGTCCAAATTTATTGTATTTTTTTTATTTGTTATATTGTTATATTGTAAAAAATTAAAAATAAAACTATGAAGTCAAAAAAATCGTTTTTTATCTTCTTGTTTTCCTATTAAATCAAATTAATTTCAATATCTACAAAATTTTAAAATTTCTTGTTCCTTTCTTTTTACTTTATTTTTA